AAGAGCAAAGACGACTGAGTCTTTGTTATCCCAGGAAAGGAAACATTTTTTAGGGAACTAAATGAAAGTAAAATATATATTAGAGGGTGTAGTTTGTATACACCTTCAAATTTATCATAAATATAAATTTGATATAAAAATTTTTTAGGATGGTTTGAAAATCTATTTTCATCTCTAATTATAAAATTTTAAACTTCAAAAATGGTTCACATCTATAAACACTTGAAAATCTTGAAATGAATGTTTTAAATAATGTATTGTAAGATATACTATTTTTAGGACTCGAAATCTTTTTTCTTGTCATATTTATATATCTCGATATCGAGATGATTAATTACATGATTTTACAACATCAAAACAACCTTTTATGATGGATTTTGAGACGCACCTTAATTGTCCTAACCTTATATAAACTTTTACAAATATTAAAATGAAAAAAGTCCCAACTAAATTCCCCTAATAAAGACATATTTTTGAGAGACATAAGACACATTTTTATGCCCCCTTTGCAATTAGAAGAGTCATGGTTGTGCATTTGTCCTGTTTTGACAACTCTCTCTCTCTCGTCTGTGTACTTGTCAACAAATCCCATCACTCACTCTCTCTCTCTATCCTGTATTTGTCCTATTTTGTGTTTTTGGCAAATCCCATCTCTCTATCATTCTCTCTCTTCTCTCTCTCCTGTATTCGTCCCATTTTGACAAATTTCATTTCATCTGTCTCTCATGGCCTCCATATTGGAAAGGTGATGTTTCTTGATTTCTTAAGCATCCATGAAGCACGCAATGCCATTAATTGGGCACTATCTTTTTTTTTATTTTTTTGAAATCTTAAAAGGTTTGAAACGGTGTTAAACCAGTGTGTTATTTGAGTATTCATGAGAAATGTTTTTCAAAATTGAGGGCACTATCTACATATATTTAGCAAAGTCTCAAAAATGGCAGAGATGATTTTGGACCACTCCGCCCCAAACAAAAATTGAGATAATGTCGATATTTTCAAGGCATTCAAATCTCAATTTTGGAGTGGACTCTCAAATTGTGAGAATCAATTCCTTAAAATCTCTCTCTCTCTCTCTCTCTCTCAGTTTGAAGATCAGCTGTTGTTCAAATGCGAAGGGCCTCATTAACAATATAAGATGAGTGTTATTAGGATAGGATCAGTAACTTAACTGCTGAAGAGTCTAGTTCAGCG